TGTTTCTGCTCTAAAACTAACCCAGGCTAGGAATATAATAGGGTTAGGAATTTAAATGTCCATAGCACCCAAATTGTAATTTAAAGCCACACACTTCGGACTTTTCTACCACCTATTCTGTAAGCTTCCTGAGAGTTAACTCCTTTGTCACCAAACCCAGCAATGCCTACTGGGCATGCCCAGTGATTTGGTTAGAGCTTCGCATGGAGTTTCACTTACTCCAGGTTTTACCAGCTGCAAAAGAAAGGAGGAGACGGAGAGAAGACTTAAACAGGTAGAGAACTTGGTTCAGCTCAGAATGCCCGTGGCCAAGGCAGAGCACGGAAAACTGGGGAAAGACAAGAGGCTGTCGCAGAAAGCACCTTGCCAGACAGACTTGAGTCTGGTCTCCAAGTTGGCGCGTTAGCCCGGTAGGTCCCTTTCACGTCTTCTTGGCACAGCCAAGGCAGATCGTGAAGGTTTGCAGAGATCACTCAGGCTAGGACCACAGTAAGGGGTGCGGCAGGGACGTTGGATCTGGGGGAATGCCAGCGACTGTGTGAATCTTGCCTGTCCCTGCATTCCTCGAAAAGCTGCAGCTTTTCAAGGGTTCCAAACAGGAGACCAAAGCGCGCAAGTAAAACCCGAGCTCATCTTAATCACTGACTCCTTGCCCCCTTCCTTTTAGCTGTCGAGCTCTTCCCCGGCACCCTTTTAGGTACCCTCGCCCAATCACGACTAAACCCCGGAGAAGTGGAATCTCCACACAGGTTTCCGTGGGTCTAGCAGGGGCCTGGGCATGCTCAGTACGCTACGTGGTTCTCTGGTTCTCTCTCTCTTTTTCGGGGGAGGGTGGGTGGTGACAAGTTAGAAGCTCTTGCGGCAGGTCCCCGCCTCCAGGATCGGGCTTCCCCTGCAAAGGGACGAAGCAAAGGTATAAACACCTCGCTCCGCAGCCTCCCGACCTGGAGGGGCTGTGCCCGCGGGCCGAACCCACTAGGATCCCCGCCTGAGGACGGCCCGCCGCTCTCCATGGTACTGCGGAGAGCTCAGCTCCGCCCTTCTCTTTCAGAAGGACAGCACCCGGCGTCACGTAACCCAGCCTTCTCAGGCTCCACCACCGCCTCCTCCTTCCCAGCTCTTTCCCTCTCTTCCTCCTCCTGCTGCTCCCCTCCGTTGCCTGTTTTCCCCTCCCGCACTCCTGAAGATAGACGCTTAAGCCTGACGCCTCTGAAAAGGCAGCGGCAGTCGCCTTATCCACAGACCTCAGGAAATTCGCTTTGACCGATGCATGCTTCAGGCTCTGGGTCGAGCTAAGGGGAATAACCGGGCAGGTAAAGAAGCTCAATTTGGGTTGGGGGAGGGGATGGGGCGAGGCAACCTGGAGAAGGATATATTTCCCCCTAGTAACTGAGCCAGGATCTGCCACAAATGCACAAGGAAGGATGGGTGGTGGGAGGGTGGAGGAGTATAGATCTTCGTTGTTTTGCATGAAGCTTTTTAAATAGATAGCAAGAAGATGAGATGATGGAACTGAGGTAGTAACTTAAAGGATGAATGCAGTGATTTATTAGCAGAAGAAAGAAAACAGACAAGTTAGAAACCAAAGCAATAAAATATATCTGTTATCTACATCTTTATTTTCCTTCCCCATCAGCTCCATGCTGTGCCTATCCTTAATTTGTGCAGTTGACTCCAGGCTCCAAGAAACTGCACTGGTATTAGAGATGGAGCTTAGAGACTGGGCGGGAAAGCCAGGGAGAATTTGGGTGTGCATTGGTATTGAGGGACTTTGCAAAAGCAAGGGGGAAAAAGCACTTCTAAAAATTATCCCAAAGATTTCAGGTTCTTTGCAATGGTATATATTGAAGGATGCATGGAAAGATATGTGTGCATATGTGTATGTGTGTTATAAACATATTAAAATAAATGCAACTGCAGCGGATCAGCATACTGTATCGATCCTTCCAGTGGCTTGGGAATGAATTTGATTCTAGAAATGAAAGAAAAGATTAATGAGGCTGTTAGTCTGCTTTTGAATTAGAGCGCTTCTTCCTTTGGCTGCAGTAAGGTTGTTTTTCAGATCCTTTTATTTCATCCTCTAATTTGTGAACTCACCAGGTTTCTCTGGCACCTAGAGAGAGAATCCTTTCTCCATATAAATACAGATACTCTCACACACACAATAAGCTTCCTCTAAGAACTGGGAGAGTCAGTTGACCTCCCCTGGGGTAAGAATATATATGTGTTCTCCCCACTCTCTATCCCTTAAAAAAATTGTCAAGGTATGCATTAGTGGAGGAGGGCAGGAGAGAGGGGTGAAGAAAGGTTTTGTGATCTTTGTAATATTAATTAATAAAATAATTAGCTCCAGTTGACACACACACACACACACACACACACACACACACACAAAGGTTTTCTAACACATAAGCTTCTGGATGGTTTCAAAGCACACCTCTTGATCTTAAAATTCCAGATTTATTTATTTATTGAAAAATTGGCAGATGCCCGAGTCCACTTAAAAATGAGAGTACATTGAGAGTTTATTGAATAATACGCTATCTTAGGATGATTTTTAAGAGCACCTTTCTCTGGGCTTGGCACAGAAGTAGACAAGATATGGCTGGTGATTGCTGATGGTGTGGAATGTATCAGCCATAATAAATAAGCAACTGAGATTTTTATTTCTTTTTTATTTCTACTGGGCAATGTGTATGCGTGTGTATGTGTTGTGTGTGTGTTGAAAAAGAGAGAACCAGTCATCAATTTCGTCTGGGGAGGAACTTGAAGTGGGATCCCCTAGCTTGGTGGTGGCTCTCAGCTGACACCTGTAGGGATTGCTCTGTACTGAAGAGAAATGCTCTCAGCTCCCTCCATGGAGGAGGAGCAGCACAATGCGGTGCCATAAATTACTGCTAGTTTCAGCTTGTAGGAAAAAAAAAAAAAGTGTTAATTGGATAGTGAGCTTCTGTGTCCAGGCAATAAATGTGTGTGCGTGTTGTGTATGTGTGTGCGGGGGGGGTGTGGTATAGTGGGAAATGCTAAGGGAAATGCATGTGTTTGCTTGACATGACCAGATGAACCATTTGTGTGTGTGTGTGTGTGTGTGTGTGTGTGTGTGTGTGTGTTGGTCAAAATGTGAGAGTAATGTTTTTGGTAAAAAAACAAAACAAAAAAACAACTTAAAAACAACTCACTACTTATGATTTCTGTACTATTTCAGGAACCTGTCAGATTAGGGTTAAATAAAGAGGTGATTTTATAGTGAGTGATTCAAAGATATAGATCTTATATTCTAGCATTCTGGAGTCATAACAGCTAAGGTGACACACATGCCAACTGCTGTTCTGACCATACAAATTCTAAGAGCTGACAGCCAGATAAAGGACTTGAAGAGGAGTTAAGATCACTACAGTGTTTAGCAAAATATTAAATACTTTACCCATCTTTAGAGGAGTTAATATTATGGCAATTGAGACATAAATGTTGCCCCAAATAGATAGACTCCAGTTAGATGTCTTCTCCTACAACAGATTATTCCTTTAATAAAAGGAGGAAAATACTTGTTTGAAATTTAAAAGAGGTTCCCAAGAAACTATCCATATTTTTTCTCTGAAAAGCATAAAATGGTGAGAATGCTAGACAAATCCAAGCTAGCAGCTTCCAGTCGCAGCTTGATCTGCTTTGCCTGTTGTAAGATCTGTATTAACTGAGATTTGACTAGGTTGTATTTTTATTGTCCATGTTATCAGTACACATCATAAGTAGAAGTCCTTAAAAGGGCCTTTTTCCTACCCTTTTCATATTTTAAAAAAATTAAACTTTCTCAGAAAAAGTAAAAGATAACCATAAACATATCTCTATAAAATTCTGAGAGGTTACCTATTAACAGTTATAATAAACTGCAAGGGTGTAATGACTGATTGTAAAAGTGCAATATTAACTATTAGGAGATATTAGGTCCTCCTTGATAGATCAGGATAAATAAGCCCTTTCCAGTAAGGTTAACTCTGGCTTCCTAACAGCTCTAGTTATGCACCTGGTTTCTGAGCTGAAAAATGATTTATATGATACTATAAATGATTTCAGAACTTAATTTTTATTTTAATTCTCTGCAGATTTTCTGGGTCCTTATAAAAAGACAAAACCAAAATGCATCACCAACACACAACCAGTTGATATGCTGGCATCTTAGCTTGGCCTTGCAGAGGGAGAGAGGAAAGAAGAGGAGCTGTTGTGACATCTAACAGCTTCTGGCTATTCCACAGCTTCTGGGTTCGAACCCTACTGTTGGGGAGGGGAAAAAGAGAAGTAAAATCCATCCTGTGAGGCCATGCCTAAGGAATTCTGCATTGGCTACAGTGGTTCAGGAAGTCCATGATATGACAGAAGAAGCAGGCCTTTGAAGCTACTCAGGGGTTAAGTGGTGCCGAAAAGAGGCAAGGAACCTGTCTCTTCCTTCCGGTTTGGGACACCACATCTGGAGGAGAAACACTTGAGGTATCCAAGGATCCTGGTTCATTGCTGGCTTTCTTGTACTTCCCTGAAAAGTATTTGCTTCTTAACAGACTCTAACTGCTTCGCTTTTGCGCGGTACCACTGATGGTACCTGGCAGAAAACAGTATTTGAGGCGTGAAGCATCTCTTGACACCACTGATGCCCTTGAACTAGGTCATCGGACTCAAATGGATAAGTGACTTCCCTTGACCTTCTGTTAACGCCTTTTCCAGAACGTTGCTTCCAAAGTGTATCCTCCCTTTGGTCTGGAAGATCTGCTGCTGCCCTGTACCACTGGGGTCTACGTTTTCCAGTTGGGAGGGGACTATCGGGAGAGAGGGAGGGGTTGCTGGAAGAAGAAGAAGAAAAAAAGAGCTAGATAAAGGAGGGTGCATCCCTCCCCCTCCTGCCCATCCCCTTACCCTACTTGTTTCCGGACCCTTATTTCTACATCACGGTGTCCAGGACCATTTTGACCCTGTCGGCCCCGGCACCCCCCCGCCGCACCCCAGCCCCGAGCATGGGGACGGCGCTTCTCCAGCGCGGGGGCTGCTTTCTCCTGTGCCTCTCGCTGCTGCTCCTGGGCTGCTGGGCAGAGCTGGGCAGCGGGCTGGAGTTCCCGGGCGCTGAGGGCCAGTGGACGCGCTTCCCCAAGTGGAACGCCTGCTGCGAGAGCGAGATGAGCTTCCAGCTCAAGACGCGCAGCGCCCGCGGCCTAGTGCTCTACTTTGACGACGAGGGCTTCTGTGACTTCCTGGAGCTCATTCTGACGCGCGGTGGCCGCCTGCAGCTCAGTTTCTCCATCTTCTGCGCGGAGCCCGCCACGCTCCTGGCTGACACGCCGGTCAACGACGGTGCATGGCACAACGTGCGTATCCGCCGGCAGTTCCGCAACACCACGCTTTTCATCGACCAGGTGGAGGCCAAGTGGGTGGAGGTCAAGTCGAAGCGCAGGGACATGACGGTGTTCAGCGGACTCTTTGTAGGGGGGCTGCCCCCGGAACTGCGAGCCGCGGCGCTCAAGCTGACGCTGGCCTCTGTGAGGGAGCGAGAGCCCTTTAAAGGGTGGATTCGCGACGTGAGGGTCAACTCCTCCCAGGCCCTGCCGGTGGACAGCGGCGAGGTGAAGCTGGACGACGAGCTGCCCAATAGCGGTGGGGGGAGCCCGTGCGAGGCGGGTGAGGAGGGCGAGGGCGGGGTGTGCCTCAACGGAGGCGTGTGCTCCGTGGTGGACGACCAGGCAGTGTGCGACTGCTCGCGAACCGGCTTCCGCGGCAAGGACTGCAGCCAAGGTAAGGCCCGACGCCTGACCCACCGGGCGCCTCGGCCTGGGCAGGGCGCGGGGAGGCAGGGCGAGGCAGGCGGGGCCGGCTGGTGCATGGGGTCTTCCTTCTCTGGGCAGTGTGTTTCAGCTAGTTTCAAGGGGAAGACCTGTTTGTGGAGTCTCTGCCTTATCACCTCCCACAGCTCCTCTTCTGGCATCCTCTTAATGGTTGGGCAGCCCCATTTCCAGGTTCAGATTCCTCCTGGGAACCCTTGGTGCCAACCCCAATTACTTCCCAGTGGCGAGTAGAATGACTTCTCCACTTCAGATTCCTCGGGTTCTTTGTCAGGCTGCTCCCTAACTTCACTGGGCCATGGCCCGCCCGAATAACCGCTGTGCTTTCCTCTACCACCTCTAAGTCTGTAACACACAGATGTTCCCCCTAAGATGCAGACAAGCATCTAGAAGATTGGGCACACATTTGGTGAAGAAGGAAGTGCGGGAGAGGTCCGCTATGGTTGAAAATCTCCACGTTTGTTATTCATGGTAAAGGACAGAAGGGGAACAGGATTCATAGGACCTGTTTTGCCTTTTATAAATAAAGTCCTGCTCCTGGTTATGGAAAAAGGGGGCCATGGGAGGGGGCACATGTGAAGGTTTTCTGGATTAGAAGGAGACGGGTTCTTGGAATTAATGTTAGTTTCTGTGGTTATGTCCAAGTCCAACATTTGTCAGTTTAGGGAAAAGTATGTGATTTTTCTGTGATTTCTTGAAGTGAAAGACAGGTCAGCTAATATTTAGAAATGTTAGAGATTAAATAACATATTTCTTAATGAGCAAATGTCTTGGAAAGATAAATAACAGAAATTTAGACGTTGTTGGACTGGGAAGCTTCTGTAGGCTAATAAACAGGGGATGCATATGAAGGATTGCAAGAGATTTTTCTGAGTACATTTAGCTAATGATATTTATCTGAGTAGTGGAGGCCAACCTGTAATTTCTGTTGTTTTTAAGGATTGAAAGTGTGGAATGAAAAAAAAAAATCATACCTAAGTTTTATTTTCTCCCTTTAATAAATAAAATTCAGTCATTCATGTGTCTCCAATATTGTTACATGACAATGACCACGGAAAAATATTGTATAAATACCGAAAAGCCTAGGAACAGAAAGTGACTGATGTGGAAAAGATGAAGCATGGATATATCTGTGGCTGAGCGGGAGAGGTGTCAGGGTTTAAAGTAGATAGCGTATGGGTCAAATCAAGACAGCACAGGATAAATGACATTTACAGCTGCAGATGTTTTTAAAAAGATGAATTATTAAATCTGATTTTGAAAGCTGTGAGGACAAAAGCTCAATGTGTGGCTGAATTTTATTGTATAATGTCTCCTTTTTTTTTTTTTTTTTTTGCTGACACTGCTAAGAGGAACTAACCCTTGTAAATCTTATTAGACTTGGCAGTTCTCTCTCATCTGACCTGAAGAGAAATGAAGACTTGATAAAATTTGTAACTGTTTAAATAGCAAAGGGAGTTTGTTAGGAAGAAAAAAGCTGGTCATCAAAAAAAGAAGAGTTCTGTAGCCTTTATGGGTTTATGGAAAAAAGAAAGTAAAAGGTTATTTTATTATTCTCTCCCTTCATGAAGGTTTTTGTTTTTATTATGTTTGGCTTAAGTAATTATAGAAGACTATGTCTTCCACGGCCTATACTACACTTCAGCTTGGCCAGTAAATTTCCATGGATTTAGTACCAGGCTTTATAGTTAGGTTTTACAAAAATAAAACAGAACATGTTTTTCCTCTCCCATATCTAATTTAATTGTAAATCTTGAATGAAATATCAGGTACATATGATGATTTGCCATATTATAATTTGGAGCTCCATACCTCTGCACTGATTAATAGAAATACATTTTTAAAAATGAACATTATTTTATGGGAAAAATTGCTCTACATATCCCAATGCCACTTTAAAATACAGAGCAGACAATTTAATGAAGGACATATGAGATATAACTTCCTTCCTTAAATTAGGAAACAAATACGACACAATGACAGCTTGTTCTGTGTGGGAGAGTGTTTTAAATTAAAATTTTTATTTTCTTGTGCATTTTAAATGTAGGGATCCAGGGATCATGCATAATCAGGAACGCTTAAGAGTGGAGAAAGATGGCAAAAGTAATATGTTGAAGAGAAGCAGAATTAGATGTTTCTGAAATGCATTTTATTTTGCCAGTGGATAGGCTCTTTCCATAAGAGGAAGAATTTGGAATTACCAAGATACATAATTGAACAATATAGTACCTGATGCTTAAGGTAATTCAATTCAGAAAAGAAAATCCATCGGGATGGTTCTGGAGCATTGATTCGTTTTGAAAATTTGATCTGAAAACGGAGTGCAAAGATCACCACTAGTCATGAAAGGAAAACAAAAGGCTGGATTCTTTTGATTATCATAGAAATGGGGGATGGAGTGATAAAGGCAGAGTCGATCTGCCCAGAAGGATGGGCTCCAGTTTATGTGTTTTTCTCTATTTCATATGTGTCAAGTGACTGTTAAATAATTAATTGAGAATGGATGCCTCTCCCAACACCAATCATGTATTGATGGCCAGGGATAGATAGTTTCTATTCAGATGAAGTATGAGCAGAGCCCTGCCTCTAGCCAGTATTTACACTGAATGTCACATTCTTTTTAAAAACTAATTTAAAAACAAATCCACATTTGTTAGAGAAAATTTAGGGAAAAAAATTAACAGCAAACATTAAAGAAGATTCAAATCACATCTAGTTCTAACCACAATTTCTTTTTTAACTTAATAAAGTCTAATATTATTTAGTTTCCTTCATATTAAAAATACAGTAAGAACTACTAAAAAAGACAATAATCAAATTCTTTCTTTCTTTATTTTTCTGGCCCAGAATGTCTTGCAACAACTTCTGCATCTATGGTTTTCTAGAATATTTTTATTTAATGAGCTCAGTTTCATCCTTACTGTAATTTATTCAAGCCTAGCAAGTTTTATTTATTTATTTATTTATTTATTTATTTATTTATTTATTTATGTGGTGATGGCAATAGAACACAAGAAAGGTTATGTGTCATGACCAGGTTAGTGGCAGAGCTCACATACAAGTGTAGGCACTCTCATTCTCGAGCCCTGTATTAACTTTTCCGCTGAATAGGATTTCCATTTTATGAGTAAGGATATTTTTTCAGGTTCAGGTATTATTCAAGAGAAAAAAATTATGTATAAATGGCTGATGGAATAGGACTAACCTACGTATCACTTAAGTTCTTTGACCTGAAAATGAGCCTCAGAACTCCAGTATCCAAGAATGTCATCTTTCCTGAATGATGGATGCTTATGGGGTGCATAGCTTTTTCAGTGATTCGTACTCATCTAAGTGCCCCAGGACCATTATTACTTAATAAGTTTTTACTTAAGAGGACTAATAGTTTCTTAGCAGCTTAAAAGAATTAGTGAATTCCATGGCTGTCCAGCTTAAAAATGAGAATAAAAGGCTGATCAATGAGAAGTGAAGTTATACTTTTAAAAATGATTTCCAGGTTTCATGCATTTTAGGGTCACTTATATTAAAATTTCATCCTAGACTCTGGAGTGTCAGTTTTATTTACTTTCTCTATTTAAATTTTTAGCATAAATTTACATATATGCCAGTGAAATCATGTTCCAGTTTTGGATACCTTTAGATGAAATGTGATAATAAACTGATTAAAAAAATAAGAAAGGACTAATACTATATAATATTTATGTTATTCTTAGCTGTATTGTGAGAATCAGCACCCTGAGCTACACTGGTTCCTGAAAAACAGCCAGTGACCACATTCTGTATTCTTTTCTCAATAAACATTCAGTGGCCACACTGCATGCAGGGTTAACTCCTATAAATATTCATTGAAAATTAAGTATCATAGATACTTATGTTTTGTTTTATTCTGGAGATATAAAGCTGCTGTTTGAACTTTCTTTGCAAACTGTTTTTTCAATAAGTGCACGCGTGTATTTGACATAATTCAGAATAAATCATTTCTGCATTCTAAAAGTTTTGAGTTCATGCTCACTTGAGCACATATTCTAAAAGTTTGGAGTTTGTTGTACAAAACAATATTATGCAAACCTCATACTTTTTTCTTGTGCACTTATGTATAATTTTATGGCTCAGTCCCTTTTCCATTACTCAAAACACAGGAATTGGTAAATCTCTTGGTCTTTGCTAAATAGTAAGTCTTAAAATGTCCCACTTAGGTTTTGGAAAAAAAAAGTTTTTTGGCTAGTTGTATCAGAGCTCTTCAGAAATTGCATGGCTTTTTGTTTGTTTGTTTTGTTTTGTTTTCTTCTCTTAAGCATAGATTCCATGTGTTTCTACTGGAACATGGGAAGGGGTACAGTGCTCTCTCAAATTCTTTTCTTGCCGTGTTATTTACACAATGCGTGTAAACAGAATGTGGTAAGGTTTTTGAACAACTAAATTCCAGATGTGGCGTTGCCTCTAAATCACTGTTAAAAGTAGAGAAAGATCACTAATGTTCTGTATTTCAGTTTTCAAGTTTGTAAATTGAGAAACACATAATCAGGCAACTAATACATCGTGAACTTCTGCTAACGTATTTCAGATTATGAGTAGTTAATAGGGGTAAACTCCCAGAAAAACATGAACTTTGGAAAGAAATATCTAATGGCAGCAGGGTAGATGGCTCTAAAGTGTTGTAAGTGTTAATAGTGAAAATGTTAAACACGTTTCTATAAATCTATGTTGGGGTCATTTTAGATGAAGTTTGGATCATTTATACCCAATAGTGTATATAAGATTTGTTAGAGTTTTCTTATTACATAGTGATACCTTGGTACAGACAACCTGAGTAAGGAGGGCATTTGTTACCTTGTTCCTTCTTTGTAAAATCTGAACAAATGAAATAAATAACTTAAGGCAGCAGCTAAATGAGTGCATATTATATGATTCTATTTATATGAAGTTCAAAACAGTACAACTAATCTATGGTGA